TAGCCAGCAGCCAACGTGAGCAGCCAGCAGCCACAGTGAGCAGCCGTCCAGAAGCCGGCGACTGATCTGCCTCACCCGGGAAGAGCGCAATGATGGTGCCAACTTGGGCCAGTGAGGCAACGTCCTCCACAACTAGATTGAAGAACAAAAGGACAGCACCTTGTCTGTTCCCCTTCCCCCAATTCCCCAATAAAAATCTTTAAAAAAAAAAAAAAAAAAAAAAATATATATATATATATATATATATATATAGGTAAATCTCTCTTTTTTTTAAATAATGAAAACTAAATTCAGGAAACTGAATCAACTGGAGATGAAGCAGGAGCAGCAATAATTTTAGGGCAATGGTTCCCAAATGTTAGCATGCATCAGAATCACTTGGAATGCTGGTTAAAACAGTTGTTAGACACCGCCTGCAGGTTTTCTGATTCAGTGGGTTAGGAATGGGGTTCTAGAGTTTACATTTCTAAGAAGATTCTAGTGATGCTGATGCTGCTGGTCTGGGGACCACCCTTTCTGATCCACTGCTTTAGGGTGATGGACAGGAGTAGGTTGGAGCTGAAGAGTCAGAGAGAAGGGCCTGAGTAAAGAAGGTCAAAGAAGCATCTTGCAGGCATCTGTGCAGAAATGGAAAGGGAAACTCAGGAAGTTTCTTGAGAGTGCCCCAAGGATGTTATCACTGAGCATGTCAGTACTACCTCAGGACATACTGTCCTGAACAGACTTAACTTCTTCAGCGACCAGAGGATGACAGACCTCTTAGTTTATAAGTTAATGGACTATAGAGAGATCAACTTTGGCCTGGAACTGAGGGAGAGAAAGTTAAGTGAATCCAAGATTGGAATTATAAATGAAATCATACAGCAGTAAGAAGAACTTGCAAATAAGGTCTTGCAAGTAGAGTCAGCAACTTTTATTTAAGCACAGGAGAAGTCAAAACACTGGAGATGAGCAAATGAAATCCCAGTTTTTGAATTCTCAACAATATTTTAAATCTGTTATTTATTGAGGTTATAATTTACATCACCATAATGCATGGATCTTAAGTGTACAAATTTGACACATTTTGACAAATGAATACACCGGTGTTATCATCACCCTACTCAAGGTTTGGAACATGTCTATCACCCCTGAAAGTTTGCTCAAGCTTCTTTCCAGTTTCCTTCCCTACCCGAAGGCAACCACTCTGGATTTCTATCACCACAGGTTAAGTTTCCTGTGCTACTGAACTTAATGTAGATCATTTGTACTCTTTTGCCTGACATCTGTTGGGAAAACTTCCTGAGGTGTACTGAAACCAACCTCCAAAGGAGGACAGGGCCAAAAGTCAAGAAAAAGACTGACAACTCTAGAATTAAACAAGGAGTTTAAGGGAAAGTACAGCAGAAGCAGACTCTGGGAAGACAACAAGACAGATTTCCTCACAGAAAGAGGAGGCATGATATACATACATAGCCAAGTGGCACCTGCTAACACAGGTGGCTTGTAGCCTCATGGCACAGGCTTATTTAGAGCTGCATAATTCAAAGCAGTAAACAACTTAATAGGCCAACTTATCTGTGCAAAAACATTTCTTTCAGGTGATACTGGTCCACCCCTCCTAGGGTGAGTTGGTGGTCAACTTTCTTCATAAGATGGTCATGCTAAGTACCAGAAATCACTTCGCCTAACAGCATCTTTCAGTTAACATTTTTGAGATTTATCTATGTTGTTGCATGATCAATAGTTTGTTCCTTTTTGTTGCTGAGTAGTGTTCCATTGTATAAATACACCATAATTTATTTATTCATTCACCTGTTGGTGGATATTTGGTTTGTTTCTAGTTTTGAGCTATTATGTAAAGAGTGCTTTGACCACTCTTGTGCTATATGTAAATTATACTTTAATAAAGGGAAAATATGACAAATACCAAAAACAAAAGAAATACTGTATATTATTAACATCTTTGGTCACTTATAAAAGAGAATGGCTAAGGCAAAAACAATAGTGAACTGGTACAGATTAAATGTTTAGCACTCAATGTTAGCCGCTGTTAATGTGATCAAGAAAATGCAAACGGATTCAAACTGGATATGTATATTGGCTAGAAAGAAGGTGGAGAAAGCACTCATTTTCTAGTATTAAGCTGCCCTAAACTCCAGAATCAGAGTTTGAAGCTTGAATAAATGAAGACTTGGAAATGAAGTCACTATCTAGGAAGATATTTACGTACTTTATGTATATGAATCATGCTTTCAGCTGTGGCAGATTCTGCAATGCCAACCTCTGCTGCGTCAGTGGACCTCAGCCTCGAGAAATGTTTGCTGAAACCAAGCCCTCGGTTAGAAGACCCATATTTCTATAGTTTTGTAAAGGACTACATGAATCCCCAAATTTAAGTTTCTAGATACGTGGTCAATTGAGGGCAATGTTGGGTCTATTAGAGCTGTATGGAATAACCCACCATCACTGATAACTCCTCATAATTTGTGCTTCCAAATGCTTGCCTCCTATAGTCTCCAGTTATAGAGCATCTTTTAAATATGAGTATTCCTATTACCTTGATGGAAATTGATCAAGACTGTCAATTAGACCTTTAACTGTGCACTTCTGTAGTTTAATTTTTTTTGTTTTTGATGACTGATAAAAATAAGCTATATATCATTTTTAATATTTCTCCAACTCTTTATTTTGGGAAATTGCAAACCCATAAAAGTTGGAATAGTAATATTAAAATATTAATACTGCCTTCAAAAAAAAGCAGAGTGATCAACAGAGGTAAACAAAAATCACTAAGAAGTCATTTCCTTTTTTGACAAGAGAATTTGAAAGACAAAGTACACCTGCTATTATGGACTGCATCTAGAAGGAATTGGCCCACTTCTAAGCCTTCCGGTGGTGGGGGCGGTGGGTGGCATCCTTCCCTAATTCCCAAAGACGTGCCAAGTGTGCTTGCACAATGCCCTAGGTCAAAGTTCACACACACACACACACACACACACACACACACACACACACATAGGTGAATCCATAGTTGATGGAAAGATCATATCCTAAAGATGCTATGTCACTCTAAAAGAGGTTCCTGGGAGTGAGAACTTCAACAGTGACCTGGCTACAGACAAGATTTGCAAATGACATGAAACTAAGGGTAAAATTTCTCATTAGAGATAATCCTATAAATGTGAACAGGTTAAAAGAATTAACCTAATTTAACAATAAAAATTAACATAGTGTTGGACACAAACTTCAAAAAGTGTAAGAAAGAGAAGCCTAACTCAGCAGCACATGAATATTTTAAAACTTAAGGGTATAGTAAATTATAATCATATTAGGAGTGAAAAGGGTAAATTTGCTGCCCCAAAAGCTAATGTTCTCCCAGGATCCATTTAAAGAAATATACTAGTATTTATAACAAAGGCAGTAAGAATCCCATTCTATTCTGTTATTTGGATTTTTTTTTTTCCAGTTTGGGTACCAGACTTAAGGAAGAACAGTGGCATAATGAATCTTGTCTAATTAGCATACAGAATGGATGAGGAACATTGAATTGACATATAGCCAGGTTGATGGGGAGTGAGAAGTAGAATATAATGATGGTCCTCAAGTACTTAACCAGCTCTTTTGTGGCAGCAGGCTAATTCTATTCTGCAAGACTACAGGGGTCAAAATATGGAGCAGGAGTGCTGAGAGTGTACTATCTCCCAGGCCCTTTGCAATAAGTTGGATTTTATACGGAGGTTGATTTCTGAATAAATGTAACACAACTGGACTAGTCACATTTCAAGTGCTCAATAGCCACTGGTGGCAATTACTGGCTACTGTATTGGACAGCACGTCTCGTTTAAATCCTTCGATCGCCAGTGTAAGTCACCACCTTCAGATGTACAAAAACAAATCACACCAAAGTTGATCCAAAGTTAATGCTCTGTTAAAACAGCAAGTGAAAGGGGAAATGTTAGTGTTTGGACTTCTTCTAATTACTCAAAAAAGAAATCTGCTTTTATTGAAGAAAGGCTTTGCAAATTTTTTGGCATCAATTTTACAAATGCCTTGAAAACCGTTTTCTTTTTTTCGTTACCTCATCAAAAGTCTTTCTGGATACGAGGTTATTTTGTTCTTTTTCTCCATTTGAATTGTTGATTTTGTCATTCACTAAGTATTTCTGTGGTGACAACTATGTGCGAAACATTAAGCTAGATGCAGTGAAGACGGTAAAAACATCCCCATCTCTTGCTTTCACAAGCTTCCTAACTGGAGACGGAAAAACATGAAAATATATCTTCGTATTTTATTTTACTGTGTCACTGTGTCAATTATTTGTTTGCCTATCGGTCTTTCCCCAGCTCTTTAACAATAATTGTAATGGACTTTATCTTCTTATACTTGTTATCTTCCTGGGGCATGGCAGAATACCTTAATATTCATGGAATTCACTATAATAAATTACTATGTGTTATTTTCTAGAACAGATGTTCTTAGAAAGTACACAAAGTACATAAAAAGTTTTTTATCTTCCCTAAAGGGAACAGAAAAACAACAAGGCAAAAGAGTTATTTATGACAGGGCTTGAAGGATTTGACAAAGATAGAAGGTGGTGAGGCTTGAAGAAAAGAACAAGTTTTTAAAGCTGAGAAAGTATGGGATACAAAAATATATCACTTACGATAGGAACTCTCTGAATGTGAGCTTATTAAGTGCACAAATTACTAAAAAGAGCCTGGATGACCTGAGGATATCTGCACAAATAGAAATGGAAGCTTTAAGGAAGCTTCTGAACAAACTATATGGAAAAAAGTGGTATGATGAGTAAGCTATTGCAATTGTCGACATTTTAAAGCAACAATCCTCCCTTACCTTGCAAGGTACAGGAGTGTGCCATATATATATATATATAATTTTTTTACTTTTTACTTTTGGGATGCTTGTTGTATCCATTTAAGAACTTTATTAAATACCATAATCCATTATCTTGAATAATTTCTTTAAGCAAGTTTGTCAGCAGGGTGAAAAATAAGAAGTCCAACAGAGTAACATGCTTTTATTTTACCATCATGCATATAAGGAAAGACAAGTATGCCAATGGTACACTTCCAGCTTGACAGAGAAATCTCACAAGTATTTATGCTATTTAGAAAAAGAGACACATCAATTACTAAGTTGTTACCAGGGCAGATTATCAAGTAGGTCAATCAAACCACATTTTTTTGGGTTATTTTTCCATGAAGACAATTTCCAAAGTCTTCAGAATCCGACAATAACAAGTTATTCATATTTCTAATACAGTTTTGACAGAAGAACAAATTGAAAACTATTATATTCATTTAAGTCTCTATATCGTACTGGAAAGTAAGATTGTTATTTTTCCAGATATTCCCAATTGAAAGGAAAAAAAGCCTGTAGGGCTCAACTTTCCCAGTAAGCAGAAACAGAGAAAATAACAGGACTTTACTAAATACTAGTGAAATAAAGGACATAGTATCAATCTTTTGCATAAATTAAGTCAAATGAAAATGAGAGAAAGCACCCAAAGTTGTGTTATGTTTCTTTAAAAAACTCTTCTCTTGGCAACATATTTAACACTCCAAGCCCCTTTAATCTCCCATGGAAATCCTGAGAAAAAGTATTTCTCCTCCCATCACCAGCAGAGAAAGAACCTTTCTTTGAAGGCTCTCAGCCATCCAGTCTTAATTTTAGGTCCAATTTTTACCTGGCTCATTTTTGCCTATGGTCTTTTGTTCAATTTCCCCTGCTTAGGGCACTCATCACAATCTCTTTAGTTCTTCCATCCATTATGAACTATAATAGATATCATTTTTCATTCCATCTAGATCTGTCTCCCTTTAAACCCTCTAAGTGGTGGGGGAGTGGAGGGTGGGGAAGGGAGCAGAGGGAAATAAGAGCTCTGGCCGTCTACTGTACAGGACAACCTGTCCCTGGAAATGATGGAGAAAGCCAAATTAACCATATACTTTTTATTTGATAAACAGAGAGAGAGTGTACTGCTCCCTGACAATCATGTTCAGGATGAGGAAAAGAGGCACAAAGAGGTACCTAGGTTTTGTGTGAATTCACTACTTGAGGCTGAGAAAGCCTGGACACCATCCTTACTCTTGTTACGAGGACAAGGTCTAACCTGACACCTCAACCACTTGCCTGCCAGTAGGGTTCCTGGATGATGGGAATCGAGGAAAGAGGAAATGAGGAATCGAGATGTCTTTCAGGTAGAGGAATGCAAGGACTGGAAAGGAAACTTGTGCTGGCAGGAAACCTGGGTCCACCACCAGTTCTGAAGATTCCATTTACCAGAAACCAGACAGAGGGGCTGACAATGGTCTGGAAGATGTTCCTTCAGTAGGGCGCAGCCATGGGGGGCACAGCTAGAAGCAGGCAGCAATAGGTGACCAGAGGTGCAAGAAGAGCAATGGAGTCACATATATCACAAAAACCAAGCGGCCCACTGCTGCTCTCCCTTGATATTATTAATGCCCCACATATTATTATACCTGCACTGCAGAGCAAAGTGGGTAGAATGTGCTCCGAAACAAAGCTAGCTAGAAGTCTAGGTGATAAGAGCCAGACCAGAGGCCCTGGGAACAACTAGGGTCCAAGCAGTGCTGATAAAGGCGGTGCAGTTTAGAGCATCCTTTACTTGGCTTAGCAGTAGTGTGAATCAAGGCCATGCGGCACGTGAGAGTAATGCAGAACAGCATGAAGGCTGTGGAGAAGCATGACCATGAAGGTCTCAACCTTGAGCTTGAGAGAACTAAATGTCCAGAGGGAAAAGGATGCAAAAATGTCAGGGGGGAAAAAAGGTAGAAGGCATACCCATTTCTGTTGCCCAAGCACAGGTCCAGCAAGAGGTGATAGGGGGCCTTGTGCAAGGGTAGTCCCCAAGGGCAAAGTTTAACCAGACTGGAACCCAAAGGGCCTGGGGATCTCCACTGGCTCCCTTATTGGACGACGTCTGGCTCTACGGGCTCCTTCACGCAACAGGTAGTATTGCAGTGGATTTGGCCATAGGTCCTCTTTGATAATCTCAGCAATCTTGTCAGACTCTGGGAGGCTGTGGTCAGAAAACCAGGTGAAGAAACTGCAAACAACATCTTGGTTCCTGCGAATGAAGGACTGGGGTTCATGGCCCCGACGCCATATGATTGGAGTGGAAAGCGATACCACTCGGCCCGAGGCTCTGACCTCATACTCCTTGACAATCAGCTTGTTTCTGAAGTAGGGATTTCTTCGAAAGAAGAACTTGAACTTGCACCCAGTTCTCGGGTGTCTGAGTTCCTTCACCTCCAAATTGGTTATGTATCTTAACATCTCTGCATCTTGGCCCCTAATCATGGGGGACAGCTGGGGATGGTTCCGAAAGGCAGTGACCCAGAAGCCCGGGATATTCTGAATGATGTAGTTCCTCCGCTCCAGGTAGTGTCGACGCATCCGTCCAAACTTATGCTCCAGCTGCTGAAAGGCCCTGTCAGCCTGGGCATTCACAGTGTCCAGTTCCAGCTGGATGGCCTCCAGGGGGTTCATGCGGAGATCCACATGCAGGGGCCGGGGCCTTGCCTCCTCCTCCACCTGCTCCACCTCTCTGTTTTCCTCCACCACGTCTCTTTCTTCACCGACTGGCTTCTCCTCTACCTCCATCTCCTGCTGCTCCACGACCTCCTCCTCCTCCGCTGCTTCCTTCTTCACCATCTCCTCATCCACTGACACTGAGAAGACGGTGTTCATTTCTGCCTTCACTTCCTCGGCCTTTGTCTCCGCCATCGCCTCAGACCCCAACCTCTCTGCGCCACAGGTTTCTAGGGCCTTGTCTGCACCTGGGCCGCTCTGCTCGCCAGGCTGACAGCCATTGTTCTGGCTGCCGTCCGTTGCCATGGACACAGACATGGCTTCCAGGCCCGCAGTGGGAGGCGGAGCATCTTGCCCCGCTTCGGTCGTTCGGTAACCGCGATCCCCACCGACTCGGATCTGTGGGGTATGGCCATCGCCCGCGAGGTCGTGGGGGGCTCCCCCCTCCTCTGGAAGCTGGGGCTGTGGGCGCACGCTGGTTCCCAAGCTTCCCTCACCCGTCTCCGCCATCGCCTGGGACGCCTCGGTTTCCTCCCGGGGTTTCGGGTCCGGGTCTCCTGGGGCATGGCCGGAAGCAGTGGGGCTGCGGGCCTGGAGGAGAGGGGTCGTCTCGATCCCATCGTTGCCGCTCATGTTGGCTGCAGCCAGACCAACTGCCGGTTAACGTCCGCTTTCCTCACAGAAGCCCAGCTCCCCGAACACCGGCCGCCAGCACCGCCCACTGCCTCGTCTCGCCAGCGTCTCTGGGAGGGTGACGTCAGCGCCGTTAATCTCATCGTAACGCGAGATGTCGCTGCCGCCGGGATTGGCTCCGCCGTTGCCTGGGTCCCCGGAGTGTTCTGTTAGTTTTACTTCTGTGGATGTTTTCGGGGGGCAGATAATTTGATTTATGTAAATAAATGTAGATTGGACTTAGAGTCCGAAGGCAGTGAGGACCTTCCCTACGATGCACCTGGAAACTGCCTCCAGCACGTAGGCTGGGGTAATTGTAGGGGTCACAGTACTACATTGCATACTTGCATGAAAACATGTTTTTCTTGTTTTCGGTATATTTTTTAGGCAGGAAGGTAAATCCGTGCCCTGTTACTCCGTACTGTCCAGGAGCAAAAAATCTTCTCTATTTTTTTTTTAACTAAGATGAATCGCAAGTTATTTACCTTTTCTCACGTAGAAGTGACATGAAAATATCAATTATAGCCTGTGATGTCACTGAGAGAAAAAGCCACTCAGTGGCTTTTTACCATTAAAATGATGCGTACTATTCCTTGCTATTCCTAAATTTATAATCTGCATCAAAGAAGAGCTTGTGCTACATAATGTCTGCAGGAATTAATCCAGGATCAATTCGCTAAATTTTGCTCAACGGCCCCTTACTGTAGTAAATAGAAAAGCTTTATTTCCAGCCACATAAACTATTATTCTGTTAGCAAGTTTAGTTCTGCAAGGAGGTAGGAAAGGTTGGCTCAAATGAAGTATGTATTCACGGCAATCAGCTCATCGATTTCATTTAAGAGTTATGTCAGGGTTTCCAGTTTACTTTCAAGGAAAGCAGGTGTTAGAGAGTTACAAGGCCTCAGAGAAATACCAGCTGGGGGGAGCCACCTGTCATCGTTTTAATAAAGAAAAGCCACTTAAAATGGATAACCAAATGGTCTTAAAGTAGAAAACAAAAGTGCCGTTAGTTGACTTAGAGTATAAAAGAGGCAAACTTTTTTTTCTTTCTATTTGCTTTGCCTTGTGTGGTAGGTTGAATAAGGGCCACCTCTCCACCTCCTAATCCTCAGAAACTGTTGATTAGAAATATTAGAAATGATTAGAAATATCCTCAGAAATATTGTCTTAAGTGGTAAAAGGGACTTTGTAGCTATGATTAGCTTAAAGATCTGGAGGTGGGAAGATTATCCTGGATTATCTGGGTTGACCCTATGTAATCACATCGGTCCTTATAAGAAGGAGGCTGGAGTGCCAGTCTAAGAAAAGATGATCATCAAAGCTGAGGGGAGGGGGAGGAGAGGGGAAGGGAGGGATTTGAAGATGCTGTGCTGCTGGCTTTGATAATGGAGGAAGGAACCAGGATCCAAGGGGAAAATGCAGCCTCTACATGCTGGAAAGGTAAGGAAATAGATTCTCCCAAAGAGCCACCAAAGAAATGCAGCCCTGGCAACACCTTGACTTTATAATGCCTAACCTTCAGCACTGTAGGGTAATTAATTTGTGCAGGTTTAAGTTATGAAGTTTGTGATAATTTGTTACAGAAGCAATATGAAGTGAGTACTTCTTGGGTTGAGGTTTTGCGTTGCATCTATGTGTGCCTCAGGTCTTTCCTAGCAGCAGCCCTTTCAGTCTTGCCCATTTGCCTCCTCTGAGGTCCTGCCCCACAGCTTGATTTATCATATTTTGAGTCTCTTTTTGGTTATCGAGACCAGAAATCTCTTTAGGCAGTACACAGAAAGATAAAATGGAAGCCAAAACCCACCACAAGTGATATTTGAGAAGACCCTGAACTCCAGGAGGATAGGAGCTTGTTTTTGTTTACTACTCTTCACCTGGTGCCCAGCACGCTGCAGTGCACAGTGTTGCATAGATTATTAAAATGGTAAATAAAGGAACAAATGAACAGAACGCAGTTTCTCCTGCCTGCAGCTTGGTGCTTGCAGAAGTAAGGGGCATGCAGGTTGTCACCCTGCTTTCCTCCTTATCTGCCACCAGGAAACCAGGGGACTGCGCCACTGTCTGCAGGAAGGAAGTCTTAGTTAAAATGAATTTCTACGTATGCATCAAAGCCTATGAAAGCATTAAAAAAAAACAGGTAAAATTTTGTTTTACAAATAATTTACATTTGTGTGATCACACTGTATGACAAACTCTGAAAGGCTGACATATTTAGGTGAGTTTACATAGTAAAGCCTCCAACTACCAACTCTGTACTTCCAATTCTTCCCTCCTTTCTGAACAAGCCACGGTAATGAACCAAGCCTTACTTCATTTCTCTTTGCAAGAAATGGATATAGATCCTGTGATGGATGGCTGAAATTACTTTTGTATAGGTAAGAATAAATAATGGAGTTGTCCACAAGGCCCACTTTTTTCTGATTGCCATGAAATTATTTATCCTCAATCTTAGAACTGGAATAATTTAATTTGGGCTAAAGTAGAAGCTTTTATTACTCTAATATGCCTTCTATTTTATTTTATTTATTTACTTATTTTTTTAAAGATTTTATTGGGGAATCGGGGAAGGGGAACAGACAAGTCGCTGTCCTTTTACTCTTCAGTCCAGCCGCGGAGGAGGTCGCTTCACTGGCCCATGTTGGTATTATCATTGCCCTCCTCCCAGGTGAGGCAGTCACTCACTGGCCATTGGACGGCTGCTCACGGTGGCTCACGGCAGCTCATGAAAGCTCACGCCAGCTGCCAGCCAGCCCCACTGCAGCCTATAATGTCGCCTGCAACTCATGGCAGCCCAGCTCCAGGTTGAGCTGTTGTTCACCATCTTAGCTGTAGAGGGCGCTACGTCACTGGCCCTAATGTGGGATCTGAACTGGGACCCTGCTGCTCAGAGCTAGCATCCCAAGCCAACTCCCAACCAACACGCCACTCGGCCGGCCCTATTTTATTTTTAATTTTATTGGAGAACAGTGTGTTTTTTCAGGACCCATCAGCTCCAGGTCAAGTAGTTCTCTTCAGTCTAGTTGTGGAGGGCGCAGCTCCTTGGCCCCAAGTGGAAATCGAACCAGAAACCTTGGTGTTATGAGCCTGCATGCTGACCACCTGAGCTAACCGGCCATCCCTGTGCCTCCTATTTTTAAGCAGAAGTGCCAGGCCTTGACCAGTCCTACAAGATGTAGCTTTATTTGTCAAAGTCACCATTATGATGTCTGTAAGTGTAATTAGTGCGGTAACTGATAATGTTAGGAACGACTCCAGTGATAGAAGGTACAGGTAAATGTAATCAGGACTCTGGTGAGTATAATTTCCCAGGTAGTGTTGAGACACTGGAGGAATCCTTCCTTCTCTTGTTGTCCTTCTCTTACTAGATAATTTTATTGAATATATACAGAAAATGAGGAAAACTGATTTCTTCGAATTTTCATTATCTGAAAATCATAGTAGATTATAACTCTTCATCATAGATGATGGAGAACCTAGGTATGACCACTTTTGAATAAGTGATCACTTTTAAATAAGAGAAGGGTCAGCAAGAAGCAAGGATTTAGAGGGAAAAGCAGATATGTGTATTCTATGCCATTTCTTTTTTATAAAAACAAATTTTTGCTTGGAAGAAGGAACTCTATAGGATTTCAACCTGCATCAAGTCTGATGGGCTCAAAGAGTTGTTTTGCCATGCGGGGCAGAAATATGATTGCAATTTGCCACAGAAAATTGTACTTGTAATAGTAGGGCCATTACTTGTGGAAGTTTTCCCATATCTTTTTGAACCTGAAGTCTTAAAAGGAATATGTGTCTCTTTTACATGACACAGGCTATCCTGCTCTCTGAAACATTCTCTTTTTAGGCAGATACCATTCTCTAAGACCCCACCACAAACCTATATCGCTTTAGAATGTGCTTGGCATTTAACATGCATTAAATTGACAAATTTTGCAAATGACGAAGCAGTAATGCTGAGAAGTTAACTAACTTAACCAGGTCATACATATAATAGCTACTACATTCCTCCTCCCTTCTCCTGGGAGCAACTTTCTTTAACTCCCTACAACTCATTCATCTTCCTCCTCTGAATTCCTACAACTCTTTTATGAGCTGTGCCATGTAATTTAGCTCCTAATTATAATCTTCCTCTTAGTGACTCTGTTTTTTCATATATTTCAGTCTCACCATCCCAGCATCTTCCCAAGGGATAAGAGTATAGTGCTTCTTCTTTTGTATTTACTCAGCATAGCCTGGAGCTGAGATTTCAGTAGATCCTTAATGATATTTGTTGATTTGAAAAAATAAAACCAGTAGTGTGTCTATACTGGCATAACATTTTACTTGATGGGAGAATATATTTTGGCTATACTTCGTATATTACCTTTTTGCACTTTGGAATGAAAGGTATATTAGTATATTACAGAGCATTTCTGTGGCAATTGGCAATAAACCTCATTACATAAAACATTCACAAAACCATGAAGTTATTCTCCACCATATCAAGAAATCATAGATTCTTCAGGAATAATTTCTCAGGTAGTAAGAAGTTTAGCATAAATTCAGATATTTTTGTTTTGCAGAAAGATATATTTTATGGTCATACTTCATGATATATTTCACATATTTACTGCTTCTGGTGTACTAACCACTGTTGTAAACTGTTCCACATATTGGATCATTCAGTTCTCATGAGAACTCTGTGAGGTAATGCTATTATAACCTTCATTTACTCATCAGGGACCTGAGGCAAAGATAGTATTGGTCACTTACTCAAAATGATATACAAAATGGACACCTGTGATTTGAATCCAGGTAGTTTGACTCAAGAACTTGTTCTCTGTACAAAATGTGAAGTCACTTTCTTAAAACAGCATAAAACTATCCTCACTTAATGTTAAATTGATATACAATTTTTTGCCTCCTCTCCCATTCTATCCACAAGCATGGTAATATTTGTTAGGAAAGTGCCCAAGGATTTCCTTTCTGTTTAGAGGGAAAACATTTACTCATGATCCCTAAATTCAGTATTTTCTAAACCCTATCAGACTCAATGTCACCTTTTTACAATAGATATTTTCTAAA